CTGACGTGACATGTTCGTACGAACCCTTTGTACGAACAAAAGTAAGAGAAATTTAGGATAAGAATACGAACATGTTCTTGCATGAGGCCCTATGTGTTTCAGTTCTCTGCTGCAGATGACTGGAACCATCTGCTACAAACTTTAAAACTCAGCTCGTTCATTTTACTCTCCTCTTTTAAAAGTTCTATACATTCGATACAAGATCGCTGCTTTTGGTTTCTTTGATTTTATTCCTTGTACTGTTGTAGTAGTGTGTTGTGTTTTTGTTTTTGTCACTGATATCAGACACCTTGTGTTGCATTGCTGTATCTGGACCAGGTCGTCATTGTAAATGAGAACTGTTCTTTAATAACTTATTTGTTAAATTAAAGGTAAAAAAAAAAACAGTTCAAAATGGCCACCAGAGCTATTCAACCTTAGCTTAGCTTAATCAGTTTTACAAATACTGAACCTTGGTGTGGTGGTAGCAGAGAGTCATCCTTAATAAGTACASAAAAAAGCTATTAGATTGCAGAAGTTGTTTGTCGAAAACAGAAAACATTGGCATGAGGGACTTGGGTGATCCATGTTTCTTTGAAGAATACTGCCTTGATTAAACTCCGAATTACAGTGAAGGATCATGGGCTGACTTCCAAAAAATTCATTGTGTTACTTGAACATCCACATGGTAAACACTTTAAAAGGGAGCACTGAGTCAGCTGAAGTCACATGGAGGTGGCTGCTCAGTCAACACATGACAAAATAATTTATGGAGTTCCATYTGTGCCAAAAATAGGTTGTTGAGCCTTAGTYCATGTTCTTAAACCTTGTGTTGACACATAACGTCATTTTGTTCTGTCTATAGCCTACAACTATACAAATGTTCCAAAACCATGTTTATAAGTTGTTCACTTTGTCTTCACGTCATGTTGTTAGACCATGTTGTTGACTATGTTGCCTCCTTAAGTAGTTTTCATTTGCTGTTACAACCTGTCTGCTCTTTTTGCTGTCACGTTATGCTGTTACAAGCTGTCGTCACGTGATGTCGTCTCCCTCTGCTGTTACTACATGGACTAAGGCTCAGCAACATATTTTTGGAACAAACGGAACTCCATAATAATTAACCTGGACATTTTATTATCTGCATCACAGGTTCATTTTATGCWATACATACAGTTTCCACGCAGTGACTATAATGGGCATGTGTCTTAAAGTTATACAGTAATGTAATACAACTTATTTTGTTCTTATTTTTTAAGCTTTCTGAACGTTAAAATCCAAGAGGCCAACTTCACATTGACAACAGAGAGATTAAAGCACTCATTTATTCTGTCACTCAAATACCTAAAATGACTAAATGTCAATAATCATTGGCCTTTGATATACAGACAAACTGAACTGAAGTGAAACTGGACATGCTTTTTTTATTTTCCTCTGTTCAAGCTTCAGAACTTGCAGCAAAGCAATAAAATCCCAATTCTCCTAAAAAGGCCTCGTTTTAAAGCTGAACATCAGCTGAGCAGCAGACTGGAGAGCAACAACCTGAAGTAATTTTTTAAGTTTTTTTCCCTCCACTGGCTGTGCCACACATTGCAGGCTTTTTATAAGATCTTTGTGCAGATTTCATTTTATAGAACAATGGGAGGTGATGTTTCTGTGTTTTTACGAGTTCCTACCTCATCCTGAGGAAACAAACAGCCCACATGTTTGTTATTATGGAGGAAAATGAGTAATAAAGCATAAACCACCTGACATGTTGACCTCAGCTCCTGTTTATTGGCTGTACAAACTGAATTCTGCAAACTCTGAAATTTGGACCACTGAAACCACCAAACTGAAACASTGGAGGAAAGAAATAAAGAGGTAAGTTAAACATTTGTCCAAAAGGTCAGTCAGATGTTGGTTTATTGATGTTGATTAACTTAAATGTTAAGTTATAATAAAAAGTTGTTTTTTCTGCTTTAACTCTGATGGATTTTTGTTTTTAAAAAAGTGTTCAATACAATAAAAAAACTTTTATTTTTTGTAACCAAGCCACAGGAATACAATAAAAACAACAGAAAGACATGTTTTATTGCAGTCATTTTTATCTTTCCTCATCGGTGTTTTATGACAATAAAARTTTAATAAAAACCTGCTGATGGACAAAAGGTACAATGATCTATTAGCCTTCTGACCTCATCTTGTGTTCAGCATCCAGAGGAGCTTTTAGTGGTTTCTGGAATTTTGCTCAATGCCATAAAAATACATTAAAAACAAGAGGTTGGAGTCATTTWGGTACTTTTACATTTATTTTACCATTAAAAGGCTATAAAACATAGTGGGATGTTTATTGTAATCCACCTCTCCTGTGCGGTGGATTATAAATGCCTGTTGTCTGAACAGGATCATTTCTGCCAACAATGAGAAGGCTTTTTTTCCCCTCTTCAAAATGAAGGATTAATTTCAGGTCATTTAAATCATTCAAGTTTTTCAAAGACAAACACACGGAGGGAAGTGTAAAGTGTGTTTGATCTTGTTTTGGAAAACCATTCAGGCCAAAAAGGCTTGTTGGTGGTGGTGGTTTTGTTGGTGTGTGTGTGTGTGTGTGTGTGTGTGTGTGTGTGTGTGTG